CTGTACCCGCCACGCGTTGCTGTGGCCAACCTTCGCTCCCTTTTTCTCTCCTTCCTTCCATCTTTCCTTCCTTCCCTCTTTTTCTTTCCCTATTTCTCTTCTTTCTTCCATCTCTACCTGTTTCTTTCCTCCCTTTCTTTGCTCTTTGGTTACATCCTTCCTTCTCTCCTTCCTTCCCTTCCTTCCTTCCTTTCCCTATCTTCGTTCCTTTCTCTCCTTCCTTCACTCTCTTTTTCCTTTCACTTTTTTATTACTCTCCTTCCTTGCTTCTCTAACTTTCTTTCTTTACTTCTTTCCTTCCCTCCTTCCTTCCTTCCCCCTTTCCCTCCTTCATTCCTTCCCTCTTTTCCTCCTTCTCTCATTACTTCTTGACTATCCCTTCCATTTAATATTGCATTTATATCTTACATAGAAAGAAGGAAAGGAAAAAAAAAAAGAAGGAAGGAAGGAAAGGAGGGAAAGGAGAGGAAAAGGAGGGAGAAAGGAAGGAGAAGGAAGGGAAGGAGGAAGAAGAAGGAGGGACAGGAAGGAGGAGGAGAAGGGAAGGAAGGAAGGAAGGGGAGGGAAAGAAGAGGGAAGGAAAGGGAGGGAGGGAAGGAAAGAGGAAAGGAGGAAAGGGGAAAGGAAGGAAGGGAGGAAGGGAGGGGAGGAAGAGGAAGGGAAGGAAAAGGGAAGGAGGGAAAGAAGTGAAGGAGAGAGAGGGCCAGGAAGACAGTTCCATCTCTTGTCTCCTGCGCTGTGCTTATATAATATTAATATAATATATAATATATTGTATATACATATAATATTGATAATATTACAATGTAATACAATATAACTACTAATAATAAAATGATATTATAATTATATATTTATATTACATGTAATATTACTAATAATATTACAATATAATTGGTATAGTACAATATAGCAATATTAAAACTGATATTGTACTATGCTAATAATATAATATATTGTATGTATATATACCTTGTAAGCCGCTCTGAGTCCCCTTCGGGGTGAGAAGGGCGGCATATAAATGTCATAAATAAATAAATAAAATAATCAGATGCAATTGAAATAAATATATAAGGAAGAAAAGGAAAGAAAGGAAGGGAGGGAGGGAGGGAGGGGAGGAAAGAAGAGCATTCTGAACCCCACCAACGATGGAATTGAACTAAAGTTGGCACACAGGACTCCCTTGACGAACAGAAAACATTAGAAGGGTTTGGTGGGCCAAAACTCGACTTCCTTGATTACATATGATTGATTTAAAGAATTCACTACCACAATGCAAAGTAAAATTATCAGATACGTTCTCAAAAACTGAGTCAAGGGGCAGCGGAAGTGAAGTGGAATTCCTCCTGCTTTGGACTCCCCTCCAGTTCTCCCAATCCATGGCTTCAACAGCCACCCAACTATGAAACAAACAAACAAACAAACAAACAAAAATCGACTCACTCTCAAGTCACAGGAATCTATTATAAGATTCCCGTCCAAGTACTCTAATGGGAACCATTTCCGAAACGACCCTCTTTTTTTGTATCAGTCATCAAAGCTTTATTACTGCTAAATAATTCACATAATTAACTGAGACGCAATTTGGCCTGCCTCTCCCAAATCAGTACTAAAAAGGATGGTTAAAAATAGAGGTTCCAAGACAGAAAGACATCTCCGCTGTTTCACAGGAGAAAGCAAAGAGGCTGAAGTCTGGGACCAAATAGGACTGCTGAGCCAATCAAGTAAAGTATTTTAATAATTTTGTACTTTTAATATAAGTGTTTGCATGCTGCAAGTTGTTGAGTTCCAGGGCCAGAGAAGCAGATGTCGGAAACAGAAGAACGGCCTGCCTCAGGGGAGCGTGCTTGCTCCATCCATGTTCAACATCTACACAAATGACCAGCCACTGCCAGAAGGGACAGAGAGCTTCATCTATGCTGATGATCGTGCCATCACCGCTCAAGCAGGGAGCTTTGAGATGGTTGAACAGAAGCTCTCCGAAGCTCTAGGTGCTCTTACTGCCTCTTACAGGGAAAACCAGCTGATCCCTAATCCATCTAAAACACAGACATGTGCCTTTCACCTTAAGAACAGACAAGCATCCCGAGCTCTGAGGATTACCTGGGAAAGAATCCCACTGGAGCATTGCAGCACACCCAAATACCTGGGAGTCACTCTGGACCATGCTCTGACCTACAAGAAGCACTGCCTGAATATCAAGCAAAAAGTGGGTGCTAGAAACAATATCATACGAAAGCTGACTGGCACAACCTGGGGATCACAACCAGATACACAGTGAAGACATCTGCCCTTGTGCTATGCTACTCTGCTGCTGAGTACGCATGCCCAGTGTGCAACACATCTCACCACACTAAAACAGGCAATAGTGAAAGGACCAAGGCAGAGACATCTCCAGCTCATCCCTTGTTTGGGTATTAGCCAGCACGTCAACGACTTAAATCAAGAAATAGTTTTCTTAGATCTACAGAGACACTCGCTGGAACACCTCAGCAAGCGAGAGTTCAAAATTGGCAGGTTCAACTCCAGCACCTCAATCCGTGGGTGATACCAGGTGAGAGACTCCCCCCTGGGCACACAGAAGACTGCCTAGCCGGTATTGCACCACCTGACATCCGCCGGGAAGTAGCAGCCAAGAGTGAAAGGACCAAGGCTGAGACATCTCCAACTCATCTCCTGTTTGGGTATCAGCCAGCTAGACTTAAATCAAGAAATAGTTTTCTAAGATCTACAGAGACACTTGCTGGAACACCTCAGCAAGCGAGAGTCCAAAAGTGGCAGGCTCAAACTCAGAACCCCAACCAATGGCTGATACCAAATGAGAGACTCCCCCCTGGGCACACAGAAGACTGGGCAACTTGGAAGGCGCTGAACAGACTGCGCTCTGGCACCATGAGATGCAGAGCCAACCTTCAGAAATGGGGCTACAAAGTGGAATCCTCGACATGCGAGTGTGGAGAAGAGCAAACCACTGACCACCTGCTGCAATGCAACCTGAGCCCAGCCGCACGCACGATGGAGGACCTTCTTGCGGCAACACCAGAGGCACTCCAAGGGGCAAGATACTGGTCAAAGGACATTTAATCAGCTACCAAGATTGCAAAATTTGTGGGGTTTTTTATCTGTTTGTTTGTTTTGTTCTGTTAGAAATGTAATACGATGTTCTGGTTGCGGATGACACGATAAATAAATAAATAAACAAATAAATATAATCTTGGAGTTCAGCCTGTGATTGTGTTTCATTATCAGGGTGCTTTGGATGTGGTAAGTGATGCCAATGAATTTCAAGATGGCAATGGTTTGGTCAATGATACTGATGCAGAAAAGGACCAGGAGACCCCTGTGCAAAGTGTAGTTTCCCATGAGAATGTCCCTGAAAGGTGTGGGGATGATAGTATACTCCCTGAATTGCTACCAGTGGGTTCCCAGGATTTGGGACTTGAAAACAACTGGGCACCTGGCCCAGCTGTGAGACTTAATGATAGGCGAGAGGAAATTAGTCAAAATAGATAGGCTGAACAGTGCCTTTGGCGTTCCGCCAGGCTTTGAGAGAAAAAGATAAGGCGATCTCAAGTAAAACGTAACAAATTCCTGAGTGCGTGGAATAGATTAACAATGGGATAAAAGTTCCAAGTATGGGAAATATAGTCAGATGAAGCATTTTTGGAATCAAGTGTAGTTCTCGTCCTTTTATGAAAGCTTTGCTTGGAAGATTCTTGTCGAAGTATTTCTTGTTCATGGTTTGGACTCTTAGATTGTATGAATGCCTACTCATGCCTTGGATTTTATTTTTTTTGGTGGTGGTATCAGGAACAACTTGAGAAACTGCAAGTCCTTTCTGGCGTGAGAGAATTAGCCGTCTGCAAGGATGTTGCCCAGGGGATTCCTGGATGTTTTGATGTTTTACCATCCTTGTGGGAGGCTTCTCTCATGTCCCCGCATGAGGAGCTGGAACAGACAGAGGGAGCTCATCCGCATTCTCCCCGGATTCGAACCTGCGACCTGTCGGTCTTCAGTCCTGCTGGCACATGGGTTTAACCCACTGCGCCACCGGGGGCTCCATGCCTTGGATTAATGTTTCCTGTTTTTCCTGAATTATATTAGAGAGGTGTGGGCTTTGTTTTTATGGATTTTGCTGAACTTTACTCTGGAATATTTTTGCTACTGCTTATCTTCTTGCCTAATTGGATTTACCTATTTCTTTAAAGTGCTTTTCACTTGCTGCCTTTTAATTATCTTCAATAAAAGGATTGTTTACCAATCAACGGTGCCCCTGGTGGCTCAGTAGGTTAAAGCACTGAGCTGCTGAGCTTGTTGATCAAAAGGTTGCAGGTTCAATTCCGGGGAGCGGCGTGAGCTTCCGCTGTCAGCCCTAGCTTCTGCCAACCTAGCAGTTCGAAAACATGCAAATGTGAGTAGATCAATAGGTACCGCTCCGGCGGGAAGGTAACGGCGCTCCATGCACTCATGCCAGCCACATGACCTTGGAGGTGTCTACGGACAACGCTGGCTCTTCGGCTTAGAAATGGAGATGAGCACCACACCCCAGAGTCAGACACGACTGGACTTAATGTCAGGGGACTACCTTTACCTTTACCAATCAACGGTGTGGTGGTTACAGTTGGAGGGCTTTTCCTGTCCTGGAGTACAACAATAACTTATCTACTTGTGTTTACCTTTTTAAAAAAATTAAGACATTTTAGTCTATCTAAAATAGGCCTGGGCAAAGTTTGGCCCTCCAAGTGTTTTGGACTTCAACTCCCACCATTCCTAACATTCCTGTTTTTGTGAGCATTCAAGTCGTTTCCGATTTGTGGCAACCCAAAGCCTATCACAGGGTTCTCTTGGGAAGCTTCATTCAGATTGCCTTTGCCTTGATATGAGGGCTGAGAATAAACACAGACATTCAAAAGTTCTGTCCCTCAAAAACAGAGATGACTATCCCTCTCCATATTCAATTGTGTGAATAGTACAATTTTTACACAATTTTAGCCTCTTACCTGTATATCTGTGTCCTTCACGGGTTCTAGAGGCTCAAATGTTGTCACTGCACTAAGGCTCTCTAGCCGCTGAGAGATGTGGGAGATGTCAAGCCCTCGGGAACCAAGTAGCACCGATCTGCAAGAAAGAGAAAAAAGGATTGGAATAAAACTGAATTTACATGTGCCTGTGTGCATATGAGCCATGTAATGTCAATGTCATATCAAAGCACTTCAGGAAAGGCAAAAGCTGCACATCGCAAGTGCTGAACCTGACTCAGCACATAGAAGATGGCTTTGAAAAGCAGCAGATCACAGGAGCTGTCTTCATAGACCTGTCAGCGGCTTATGATACTGTGAACCACCGCCTCCTCCTGAGAAAAATGTATAATATCACAAAGGATTATCATCTCACCCGTCTCATAGGAAACCTGCTACAAAACAGGAGCTTTTTTGTTGAGTTCCAGGGCCAGAGAAGCAGATGGCGGAAACAGAAGAACGGCCTGCCTCAGGGGAGCGTGCTCACTCCATCCATGTTCAACATCTACACAAATGACCAGCCACTGCCAGAAGGGAAAGAGAGTTTCATCTATGCTGATGATCGTGCCATTACCACTCCAGGGAACTTTGAGATGGTAGAACAGAAGCTCTCCGAAGCTCTAGGTACTCTAACTGCCTATTACAGGGAAAACCAACTGATCCCTAACCCATCTAAAACACAGACATGTGCCTTTTACCTTAAGAACAGACAAGCATCCCGAGCTCTGAGGATTACCTGGGAAGGAATCCCACTGGAGCATTGCAGCACACCCAAATACCTGGGAGTCACTCTGGACTGTGCTCTGACCTACAAGAAGCACTGCCTGAACATCAAGCAAAAAGTGGGTGCTAGAAACAATATCATACGAAAGCTGACTGGCACAACCTGGGGATCACAACCAGACACAGTGAAGACATCTGCCCTTGCGCTATGCTACTCTGCTGCTGAGTATGCATGCCCAGTGTGGAACACATCTCACCACGCTAAAACAGTGGATGTGGCTCTGAATGAGACATGCCGCATTATCACGGGGTGTCTGCGCCCTACACCACTGGAGAAATTACACTGCTTAGCCGGTATTGCACCACCTGACATCCGCCGGGAAGTAGCAGCCAATAGTGAAAGGACCAAGGCAGAGACATCTCCAGCTCATCCCTTGTTTGGGTATCAGCCAGCACATCAACGACTTAAATCAAGAAATAGTTTTCTTAGATCTACAGAGACACTCGCTGGAACACCTCAGCAAGCGAGAGTTCAAAAGTGGCAGGCTCAAACCCAGCACCTCAATCCGTGGGTGATACCAGATAAGAGACTCCCCCCTGGGCACACAGAAGACTGGGCGACTTGGAAGGCGCTGAACAGACTGCGCTCTGGCACCACGAGATGCAGAGCCAACCTTCAGAAATGGGGCCACAAAGTGGAATCCACGACATGCGTGTGGAGAAGAGCAAACCACTGACCACCTGCTGCAATGCAACCTGAGCCCTGCCACATGCACAATGGAGGACCTTCTTGCGGCAACACCAGAGGCACTCCAAGTGGCCAGATACTGGTCAAAGGACATTTAATCAGCTACCAAGTTTGCAAAATTTGTGTTTTTTTTATCTGTTTGTTTGTTTTGTTCTGTTAGAAATGTAATACAATGTTCTGGTTGCAGATGACACAATAAAGAAAATCAAAGCACTTAGTTAACCAGATCATAGTTTTTCCCATGATATTGGATCTGTAGGTCATGCAACCATCAGATGGGGGGGGGGGGGATGATGGGTTTCGAAATGAAGAGTCTGTGTGTGATTGGAGAGAAATGCAAGCAGATGAAGCCCATGTTGTAGATTCCTGCGCTCATTCCCAGGCAACAGGGGAAAGTGAAAGTCCTTAGGCTGATGGGGAGTTTTCCCAGGAAACTAGATAATAATAATAATAAATAATAAATAATAATAAAACTTTATTTATACCCCGCCACCATCTCCCCAAGGGACTCGGAGCGGCTTACATGAGGCCAAGTCCAACAACACATCAGAAACAACAAGCAATAATAAAAACAACAAGCAATAAACAAAATAAACAATACAATTAATATAACTCAAAAATAGACAATAACACACAAGAATTTAAAAAACCTATGACTGGGCCAGATGTAATAGTTAAAAAACTTTAAAAATAAATGCTGGACATGAACAGAGGATGTATCTAGTGGAGGGTTTTAAATCAAAAGTAAAGAGTGACCCAACGGGTAATTAAAGTGCTTCTCAGAGTATTTGCAGGGGATTGTTTCCTTTATTCAGGGAAGGCACACTGGAACAGCCATGTTTTCAGGCTCCTCCTAAAGACTGCCAATGTGGGGTCTTGCCTAATATCCTTGGGAAGTGAGTTCCAGAGTTTGGGGGCCACCACAGAAAAGGCCCTATCCCTCATCCCCACGAATCGCGCCTGCGAAGGGGGTGGGAGAGAGAGCAGGGCCTCTCCAGATGATCAAAGAGATCGTGTGGGTTCGCACACAGAAATGTGGTCACGCATTTCTGTGTAGATTAGGCCTGAGTATGGAGGGAGCAAAAAACAGACAAACTAGATATTCTCACAGAATCTGTGGGAAGACCTTGAAATCCAGGTATGTTCGACATGATGTCATGGGTGCCTGGATGGGCTTGAATTAAGTAGTTTGGTTTCAAACCTCTCGGAGGAGACAACGTTGCTAAATGACAATTTTCCTGTCTCTGATCTCAAGCTCATGATTCAAGTTTCCTGTTTTGGTTCATGTCTTTGATTCTGTAAGGGTTTGCCTTGGGAAAAGCTCCCGTTTTTTGGTTTATGGATTCATGTTTTAATAACTGCCGTGGATTTTGGTTCTCCTGACTTTACTGTGCCATTTTTGGGTTACTGCTATTTTGTATTTCCTGTATTTGGATTACTGTTATTTTGCAGTTTCTGTTCTACTGACTCTTTCGGAAATGCCCCTTTTCCCCCTTGTGTCTGTTTTTCTTAATAAACATTTCTAGATAGTATTACTGGATTCTGGTGTGGTGCTGGGTGAAAAGGTGTTTCGGTGCTAGAGTGCAATACACACCCAGGATTAAGGGTTATTTGCAGCCTTCGCTTTCCTCTGACCCATTAAAGACCACACAGATACCCAAATTTGGAAGTGAGGCATAATTAAAAGGTTCCAGAAAGGCAAACCGATGCACCTGAAGCCTTGCGGAATCCCACAAACAAGTCACTGGAATCTTTTCAGCTCAAAAACAATCCCAAATAGAATGGTGCAGCCCCTCACAGGCCCCTGCACTGTCCACAGCTCTCTGTGAGTGCTTTGCCTGTAGCTACATTGTGGAATGAATGCAGTTTGACACCATTTAAACTTGCATGGTTCAATGCAATGAAATCCTGGGATTCAAGGTTTGGTGAGGCGCTAGCAGTCCTTGACAGTAGAAGTGAAAGAACTTTTAAAAGTTCAATGATTCCATAGCATTGTGCTGTGGCAGCTAAAGTGGTGTCAAACTGCATTCACTTCTACAGTGTAGATGTGTCCTATGCATTTCACCCTGAGTTGCCTTCGGGCTTGAGAAGGGTGGGATAAAAATATCATAAATATATAAATCATTCCTGCATGGTAATGGGTTGGACTGATGGCCCCCACAATCACTTTCAATGCTATGATTCTATGTTAGAAACAACATCAGTCTCACCTGGTTGCCATTAATTTTCCATCATGCCAAAATGTAATAATAATAATAATAATAATAATAATAATAATAATAATAATTTCTTATCCGCCTCCCCTCGTGGCTTGAGGTGAGTCCCAGCACAGTCAAATACACAAATATTGCACAATTCTATAAACACACTGTACAGGAGTTGATTATAAATTGTATGATTTTAACTGTATTTGTGTTTAGATTGGCTGCAGTAATGCTGGAGCGGCCTAAGTCAGAGGAGTCCTCCATGTGCGTTGCCATGGAGACTGATGCAGGAGAGAGGGAAGTGGGAGGAGCTTAGAGGGGAGAGTTTGAAAAAACGACAGTTAAAAATCAGTTAGGGTTTAGGTTTAGAGGAGTGAGCAGTCCGGGTTTAGGTTCAGAGGAGTGAGGAGTTAGGAGTTGGGAGAGAAGGAAAGGAAAGGTGGCGGAGTGACTTGTGAAGCAAAGCTTTGAGGCTTTGAAAAGCTGGGTTTGGCTATTGGAAGTTTCTCAGGCTAGTGCAGCCGAATGGTGAAACATAGCTGGTATTCTTTTAGTCTAAGGAGAGGCTAAAGAATAGTTTACTTAGTATTTGATCTAGGGAGGATCAAACAAGGGAAACATCCCTGTATGGAAACTTTGTCTGAAACAAGTGCTCTACGTCAGAAAGATACTGTGTTACTTGAAAGAATGAACTGTTAAAGTTACAAGTATTATTCCAAGTGCAACAAGGAAAAGTTACGTCTTGCAACCACACACTGTGCACTTAATGAAATTGTTAACTTTTATTTGAAGATTGCTTCAGCTCCGTCTATTCTGTGTACCAAGTGCCATTTCTCACAATATTACAACTTACCTCACGTGGTGGCAGAAACGTAGGGAAAAGTAACCAAATAAATCTACATTCTTCTCTCCAGTCACGCTACAGTATATACAGTGTAATTACTACTAAGTTATTACTTTCTTAATAAAGGAGGAGGTGCAATTGAACAGCCTCCCTTCCAACTTGATGGTAAATTTGGTTCCTAATCGGCAACCTCCATTGCAAATCGGCCAGTTCTTTTAAAATTGGGAACTGGGGTAAAATCTCCTGAATACTGGTTCCTTTCAAATTGGTGGCAACAATAAATCATCCCTCGGCTCCCCTGCTTCTTTTCAAGCATAAAGAAATTATTAAAATGTAGTTGTATAACAGATACATATTAAAATGTATTTTTATAAAACACATATTAAATACGGAGGACAGAGATGAGAACACAGGTTTAAAATCCATGCTGCAAAACATTACTTTTCCCTTTAAAAAATATGATTTTTATTAGTGAATAACATAAATGACATTAAACAATAAGATGGTATAAGTATAAAGAAAGATGGTATACTAAAACCCCAATGTGGTTTTCACCAAATGAGGCCAATCAAAGGAGAGAAATGCCCATTGACAAGTGACTAACATATAAACAATCGTTAAAAAAAATAATCAAAATATAGAATTCACAACATTACTTTTCCAGATGGAGATTGTTTGTTGTTGTTGACCAATTAGAACACTAATTTGGAATTTGGTATTACAATCTTATATAAATAAAAATGTAATGTTCATTTGTGGGACTAACATAACTCAAAAACCACTGGACGAAATGATGGCCAACGAGTGACCATCAATCATAAAAACACTGAAAAACACAGCGGAAAAGACTTAAAAAGCCAAAAAATAAAAAATACTGTACAACGTATGTGCAAAACCACATATATACATGAATATATACACACACATATATACATACACACACACACAAAACACATATACACAGACTGGGCCACAGCAATGCGCGGCAGGGGATGGCTAGTGAATTATAAAAATCCTAGTACGATTGGCTTAGAATTCAAATTCTAGCATTTAATTGTAAAGAAGGAAGCACCAGGAACATACGTACGCCTTGACATCTGCGGTCTCCTGCGACGTGCGGGTTAACGTCCGAGAGCGGAGCCGTTCTCCGGCCTGTTGGATCTCTTGGAGGTTGCGCTCAACGTGAGGGAGCTCAGCAATGCCCTCTGTTTCGGCCGCAAGCTGCTCTGCCTGCTGCAGGAGCTCACCAAAGCCTTCCACGTCCATTTGTGAGGCTGGTTGGGGAAAGCCTAAGTGGCAAAAGAGGGAGAAAAGACTCAATTGTGAATCACGAAAGACAGTTAAATGATCCTAAACAACAACATTTGGATGTCTGCATTTCCCATCAGCAAATGTGGAGAATGTCAAGGGAGTAATATGTCCCCAGACTGTCTGGAATCATCACAAGAGGCCTGACCCTCTATCCAGGTAACTTCTTTGGTTTGCAATCACAAGGGGAAAATGGGTTTAAATAATAATAATTTAAATATATATAAATGCTCTGTGCATAATGAGTACCTTAAAAACAAAAGAACCAATGAACGAAATCACACCAAATTTGGCAACAAAACATCTCACAACACAAGGAGTGACCATCACTCAAAACATTATGATTTTGCCATTTGGGAGTTGTAGTTGCTGGGATTTATAGTTCACCTATAATCAAAGAGCATTCTGAACTCCACCAACGATGGAATTGGACCAAACTTGGCACAAAGGACTCCCCTGACCAACAGAAAACACTACAAGGGTTTGGTGGGTATTGACCTTGAGTTAAGGAGTTGTACTTCACCTACATCCAGAGAGCACTGTTTGTTTGTTTGTTTGTTTGTTTCTTTCTTTCTTTGTTTGTTTAAAAAATGCAATACAACTTTGGTTTTGCTCCTGACACGATAAATAAATAAATGTAAATATTTATTTATTTATTTATTTGCTATGTAGAATCATAGAATCAAAGAGTTGGAAGAGACCTCATGGGCCATCTAGTCCAACCCCCTGCCAAGAAGCAGGAATATTGCATTCAAATCACCCCTGACAGATGGCCATCCAGCCTCTGCTTAAAAGCTTCCAAAGAAGGAGCCTCTACCACACCCCGGGGCAGAGAGTTCCACTGCTGAACGGCTCTCACAGTCAGGAAGTTCTTCCTCATGTTCAGATGGAATCTCCTCTCTTGTAGTTTGAAGCCATTGTTCCGCGTCCTAGTCTCCAAGGAAGCAGAAAACAAGCTTGCTCCCTCTGCCCTGTGGCTTCCTCTCACATATTTATACATGGCTATCATATCTCCTCTCAGCCTTCTCTTCTTCAGGCTAAACATGCCCAGCTCCTTAAGCCGCTCCTCATAGGGCTTGTTCTCCAGACCCTTGATCATTGTTAGTCGCCCTCCTCTGGACACATTCCAGCTTGTCAATATCTCTCTTGAATTGTGGTGCCCAGAATTGGACACAATATTCCAGATGTGGTCTAACCAAAGCAGAATAGAGGGGTAGCATTACTTTCCTTAGATCTAGACACTATGCTCCTCTTGATGCAGGCCAAAATCCCATTGGCTTTTTTTGCCGCCACATCACATTGTTGGCTCATGTTTAACTTGTTGTCCACGAGGACTCCAAGATCTTTTTCACACGTACTGCTCTCGAGCCAGGCGTCCCCCATTCTGTATTTTTGCATTTCATTTTTTCTGCTTAAGTGGAGTATCTTGCATTTGTCACTGTTGAACTTCATTTTGTAAGTTTTGGCCCATCTCTCTAATCTGTTAAGATTGTTTTGAATTCTGGTCCTGTCTTCTAGAGTGTTGGCTATCCCTCCCAATTTGGTGTCGTCTGCAAACTTGATGATCATGCCTTCTAGCCCTTCATCTAAGTCATTAATAAAGATGTTGAACAGGACCGGGCCCAGGACGGAACCCTGCGGCACTCCACTTGTCACTTCTTTCCAGGATGAAGAGGAAGCATTAGTGAGCACCCTCTGGGTTCGTCCATTTAACCAATTACAGATCCACCTCACCGTAGTTTTGCCTAGCCCACATTGGACTAGTTTCCTTGCCAGAAGGTCATGGGGGACCTTGTCGAAGGCCTTACTGAAATCCAGGTACGCTACATCCTACATATTTGTATACCTCTCTTCTCAGTTCTCGGGCAATTCAGAGCAGTTAACAATAGCAAAATTCAATGCTCAAAAACATCATAAAACAATGAAAAATAATCAAAACAGTAGCATAATAGTCAATATAAATCAATAAAACATCTTATTAGCGTCTCATAGTAAAAATCAAGATGTAGTCTCATCATCCAATTGTTCCATATTCCTATGTTCGTTACACTGGCTATTCAGATGCCTGCTCGAACAACCAGGTCTTCACTTTCCTCCGAAATATCAACAGGGAGGGGGCTGATCTAATATCCCTAGGAAGGGCATTCCACAGCCAAGGGGCCACCACTGAGAAGGCCCTATCTCTCATCCCCGCCAAACGTACTTGCGACACAGGTGGGACCCAGAGCAGGGCCTCCCCAGACGATCTTAACACCCTAATAAACATTCAACCTACTGATGCTTCAATTAATGTAATTTTATTGGTATCTATTTTTATTTCAAAACTGACCCATAGCTGCATTTCCCATCCTCGACTTATACTCGAGTGAACAAGTTTTCCCAGTTTTTTTGTGGAAAAATCAGGTGCCTTGGCTTATATATTCAGGGCGGCTTATACTCAAGTATACATGGTACTTTGTTAAATGTGGCATGTTGTTGTTGTTCATTCGTTCAGTCATCTCCGACTCTTCGTGACCTCATGGACCAGCCCACTCCAGAGCTCCCTGTCGGCCGTCACCACCCCCAGCTCCTTCAAGGTCAGTCCAGTCACTTCAAGGATGCCATCCATCCATCTTGCCCTTGGTCGGCCCCTCTTCCTTTTGCCTTCCACTTTCCCCAGCATCATTCCCTTCTCTAGGCTTTGCTGTCTCCTCATGATGTGGCCAAAGGACTTCAGCTTTGTCTCTAGTATCCTTCCCTCCAGTGAGCAGTCGGGCTTTATTTCCTGGAGGATGGACTGGTTGGATCTTCTCACGGTCCAAGGCACGCTCAGCACTTTCCTCCAACACCACAGCTCAAAAGCATCTTTCTTCCTTCGCTCGGCCTTCCCTAAGGTCCAGCTCTCACATCCGTAGGTGACTACAGGGAAGACCATGGCTTTGACTAGGCAATGGATCTTTGTTGCCAGTCTGATGTCTCTACACTTTACTATTTTATCGAGATTGGACATTGCTCTCCTCCCTAGAAGGAAATGTCTCCTGATTTCCTGGCCACAGTCTGCATACCTGTATTTATTTTGCAGAATTGGTGCCCAGCTTTTATTTATTTATTTACATTACTAGCCGTCCCCTGCCACAACTCCAAAACCAAAGGACACTGCCCACCAAACCCTTCCAGTATTTTCTGTTGGTCATGGGAGTTCTGTGTGCCAAGTTTGGTTCAATTCCATTGTTGATGGGGCTCAGAATGCTCTTTGATTGTCGGTGAAGTATAAATCCCAGCAACTACAACTCCCAAATGACAAAATCAATTTTTTTGAGCGAAGAGCATACATTGGGTTGTTAGATGTATTGTGTCCAAATTTGGTGTCAATTTGTCCAGTGGTTTTTGAGTTCTGTTAATCCCACAAACGAACATTACATTTTTATTTATATAGATTTCTATCCCACCCATATCAGCCCGAAGGCGAGTCACGTTTTACAACACGTAACCACAAGGCAGCTCACAAGTGAAAGCAATGAAAGCACAGCATTACAGATTTTGGGAAATTCTTTCTCCCAAGAATCCCCCAAGATTCAGACCCTTGTGTCAAAGCCAACTCAGAGCTGCATCTGAAAATCCTGATGGATCTCTGAGAGACACTTCCAGGCAGGGCCTGGCAGGAACCTAATATCCCACTCATGGTTCTCTTCCAGAAAATCCACAAGGGACTTTCGTTCCGACATTCACACTTTCCGCACGCTTTCCCGCGTAGGAGTCATTTCAAAGGACTCTTGGGGAGGAAGAAGTTATGCCAAAACAGGCTACAATCTGTTAAGTGCTTAAAAGGCCAGAATTCTGAAAGCTCCGATTTGCAATGCCAGCCCTGCTCAATAGTCTTTCTTCTTTCCCTTGTTTGCATTGATCTGCCTGCAGCAGTATTTCTCTGGTTAAGGGAAGCTTGTCAACCTATGCAATTTGGCCATTCAGCCTTTTAACAAATTTCCAGGGCTTCTGGATCTGGCCCATCTTCTGCCTATTAGGCATCTCTTCACTGTTGGGTAGGAATTGAAGCAATAATTATAGATACCATAATTATAGATAATTATAGATTATAGAACCAATTGAAATTTCCGGGCCGTCTTCAAGGGCAGCCCCACGTAGAGTGCATTACAGTAATCCAGTCTAGAAGTGACTAGAGGACATATTGTTGGGAGTTTCCTTATTCTGGGAAGGCACACTGGAATAACCTTGTTTTCAGGCTCCTTCTAAAGACTGCCAGAGTTGGGGCATGCCTGATGTCCTTGGGGAGTGAGTTCCAGAGTCGAGGGGCCACCACCGAGAAGGCCCTCTCCCTCGTCCCCACCAATTGCGCCTGTGATGGAGGTGGGAGCGCGAGCAGGCTTCTCCAGATGATCGTAGAGATCGTGTGGGTTCGTATACAGAAATGCGGTCACGCAGGTAGGTGGGTCCCAAACCGTTTAGGGCTTTGTAGGTAAGAACCTGCACCTTGAATTGGGACCGGAAAATGAACAGCAGCCAGTGGAGCTCCTTAAACAGGAGAGTTGACCGCTCCCTGTAAGTCGCACCAGTTAACAACCTGGCCTCCGCCCATTGAACCAATTGAAATTTCCGGACTGTCTTCAAGGGCAGCCCCACGTAGAGCACATTACAGTAGTCCAATCTGGAGGTGACTAAGGCATGGACCACCCTGGCCAGATCTGCCTTCACGAGGTACGGTCGCAGTTGGCGCATGAGTCTCAGTTGGTCAAAGGCCCTCCCAGCCACCGCCGACGCCTGAGCTTCAAGTGTAAGTGATGAATCCAGGAGGACACCCAAACTGTGGACCTGTGACTTCAGGGGGAGTGTAACCCCGTCCAGCACAGGTTGCCACCCTATACCTCAATCTGATTTTCGATCGACCAGGAGGACCTCTGTCTTGTCAGGATTAATCTTCAGCTTGTTCCTCCTCATCCAGCCAGCCACAGCTATTTTGAACCAATTGAAATTTACGGGCTCTCTT